GAATCCTACCTCATTCACCACCTATGCCAGCCAGCCCTTGCCACAGGGGACCTCCGGAGATGCTGTCCTTCCCACCAAAGAACAGTCCTCTAGCTGCAGAAGAGTCACACCCCAGAGAAAGAGAGAGGAGCATTCAGCAAAACACCAGGAAAATATGTTGATAACGGCAGAAAAAGTATCAGGTTAATTAATGGGCGGATACCCAGAATTCGGGTCCTAACACCTCCTTTTGAAGGATCAGGAAATTAGCAAAAACAAACAAAAAAACTCTCGGAACTCCCATGATTCCTTAGGGAACCACCCTTAAGAACTCTACATCTGTGGGACTACCTCTGCACCAGAATGAGAGGGACGATGAGAGGCAGATGGAGATGGTGTTTAGGTTTCCAGAACCAGGAATTAAAGAAGCAGAATGACTTCACGCATTCTAAATTGCCTCTTCCGAAAACTTTCCCTTCTATGTATTCTGAACGATGCCCCCCATTACCTCAACACATTAAAGTGGGCTAGGAGGCTGGAAAAACAGATTCCCAAACAAGAAATGTGGATTCACAGTAGCACACTCTTTATTTCCATGGACCCTTCCTGTCAAAGTCGATGGACTCCTCTCCCTGCATTTGCTTGCACTTAATTGGGTGCAAGATCTAAATATGCAAGGCAAGAAAACTGCTGTATTAAGAGAAGGGTACACCTTTCTTTTGGTGTCTTCTTAATCTACCCACTCAGTCCCCCTTTTGCTGACATCGCGCAACTACGGCGCAGACAGGAGACTCTGGCACCAACGAGGCGCCTGTGGGAAGGGACAGCCACCAGGGCGCGGGGCCCAACAGGCTCCTTTCCAGATTCAGGACCCAGGGTAGCCAACGCCCCCGCCCCGGCGCCCCCCATCCCAGGCCCCGCTCCGCCATTTCTCCCGCAGCAGCCTCCCCCACTGCCCTCTCCTGGAAAGCAGGCTGGAGAGAGGCCGGCGCGGATCGCTTCCCTGGGAGTCCAGGGAGCCGCTCAGGCCACCCTTCTGGGCCCTGGGACGGGCCCCCGCCCGTCACTGTCGCTGT